AGCAGGGCCTAGCAGGCCTGCAGTTTTCACCCCCCGTGCCCCAAGACAGTCCCATAAGCACCCATGTCACGAGTTTTACCTGTCAGCAGCCAGAGGTGCAGGGCTCCAGAACCCAGAAGCCCCTGCACCTGTCTCCTTGACAGCTGGCAGGCTTTGTGGCCTCAGCAGGGGCTACCATCCCTGCAGCTTTCACCCTGCTGCACCTTAACACGCACAATGTCACCCATGTCACAAGTTTTGCTCGTCTGCAACTTGAGGTACAGTTTCCCCCAAACCCCTGCACCTATCTCCTTGAAACTTGGCAGGCTTCGTTGCCTAGCAGGGGCTAGCAAGCCTGCAGTTCTGACCCCGCCGTAGCTTAACACATACATGTGACAAGTTTTTTACTTTCAAGACTTTGAGGAGCAGTGTCCCTGAAACCCCTGCATCTATTTCCTTGAAACTTGTCAGGCTTCATGCCCTCAGTAGGGGCTACCATTCCTGCAAGTTTCATCAAATCAGGCCAGAAATGACAAAGTTATAGGTTGTTTCGAGCTTCCCAATTATAGCCTATGGGCGAAAAGTCAAAACAGTGAAACTATTTTGATGAAACGAAACAGAACAGTGGTTTCAAATCGAAATGAAATTTGAAACGAAATGATGTTCCATTGAAACGCAAGTTGAAAAGGAACGGTGCTGTTTCTCACAGCCCTAATAGTCACCCTAGGATTAATGCCACTGTTCATGCATGTTGTCCAGTCTGGAGAAATCTCCACCATCTATATCTGGTCCCGGGTGAACCCCAGGGTCCATATTCATCCCTTGGACCAGAGGAGTTTAAGTACCCTGAGGTAGATGGAGCAGAGCTATTAATGTTTTACCTCTGTTGGACTGGGAGAGGCAAAGCTCTTAGCAGGATTGGAGAGAGCAGAGATATTTTGGTGATGGAGGAGGTTTTACCTACATAAGTAGGTTAAGAAAACAGAGCAGAAGAAAGGGCCTGAGGTTGAGGCGCACAGGGTGAAATTGAAGCTGAAAAAACAGGGGTTTTTTTAGCACAGGGTGGAAAACAGCCTGTACTTTGGGGAGTCTGTGGAGTGGACTGGAAGGTGGTAGCAAGAAACTGTTTTTGGGAAACAAGGGTATGGAAAGAATAGAAATAAGGCAGGGAAGGGCTCATGGAGTAGAAGGCCCTCAGCTTAGCAACCAAGAATAGATGGTGTGTGGTATCAGGATGCTTTTCAAGTGCCAGGTTCTGAGCCAGGTCAGGTCACTGGGATAGTAGTGAAGAAGGGCTTCTGGGGAGACTGGAGAAGTCTTGCTTGCTTTGGTATTGGTAGAGGCAGGAAAGGAGTTGGTTGGCCTGCCACAGGTACTCAGTTGCTGCAAACTCTCCTCCCAGAAGAGAAATGGGTGTAGGGGTTAAATGAGCTGAGGCTACTGTATTGGACCACACTACTGAAAGGCTGGGGCATTGGTAGCTCAGCTTAGCAGCAGCAGGTGCAGTAGCACCAGTGACCATATTTTTCCAGTTCTGAAGTAAAACTGAATAAACCTGCGTGGCTTAGGCAGCCAGAATATTCTTGGTAACTGGAATCTGGTGCCCAGCCTGCTGTCCACAGGCCTCAGTGTACATAGTAAATGGCCTAGAAACACATAAGAAGGATGTGTCTAAGTCTAAGCTGCATATAATGAACTTGTATTGCAATCATAAAATTGTCCAACATATAACACAGGCAATTAACTCTTCAAGTCCATCTCCACCAGAGTCACTGATGCTGTGCCAGCTACAACCCTGAAACTGAAGGGGTCCTGCCAATTTTAGGGCTCTTATTAGAGGCAAGAGGCTCTGAGTAACAGTGGAGTCCTAATGAGGTAAGAATGGCTGAGCACAGGCTCTGGCTAACCATGTAGCCAGTGTTAATGAAGTGCAAAAAGCTGAGAGGTACAAAAATCCTACAAAATACCAGGCATGTTTAGATCAGTTAAATGATGCCATTAATACTGAAATCAATGGGATTTGGCAAATAGCTGTTATTTGCATCATGTAAATGACTGTCTACCTTACCTGCAGGTGTCATAAATAGTGTATATTGTATATAGAAGCATTATACAAATAATCAGTGCTACAGGAAAACCAAAACCCCGTGCAATACAATGGCCAAAAGAGCTAATATGATTCTGGGTATATTAACAGTGGACTAGGAAGATGACTTGGCCACTCAACATGATATTAGTGAGGCCAATCTGTAACGCTGCGTACAACTCTAGTATCTGCATTTAAAAAACGCTTGTTCCAAAGCTGGACAGATTCCAAGAAGACTTTAGACTGTACCGGCACAGCAGAACCAGGCAATTGCTCCTTTAGCTCTGGGTCTGGATGCTCCTCACTGCCCACTTTACTTGCAACAATTCCTGAAACCCTAATTCCCAGCTCTGAGATCAGGGTCTGTTTTGGAGGCCTTCCTTATCCTGCAATCCAAATGGCTGTAACTTGCCATCTCCTTTGTAAATCACTGAACTGGAAGCCACGGTCTTTTGCCTCCCAGTAAAGCACTGTAAGCCTCTTGATTTTCTCATGGGGTGGAGGTCCCCTTTGGGACCTCTCCCATACTACCCAACCAGTCTTGGGCAGATCTAGGATTTAAAAAAGTGGGTGCAGATGGTGTGGTGCATCATCACATGTAGCATGACACATTGTCTTCAGTTAAAGAGAAACTAGAAGGTTATTAATATGCTAGGGGCCTAGTACTATATTATTCAGTTTAAGATCAAAGCAAAAACAAATACAGCTTCATTGGAATGGGTACTCATTTGCTAGATTATTAAGTTTAAAAAACACAGGAAACTAGGCACACAGAAAAAAGGTCACAGTAGTGAAAAGGTATTGTTTCATTAATCCTGTAATCATCATAGTTAGATGTACCTTATTGAAATTCATATAGCAAAAGCTAGTTTTCTTGAGTGTCTTGACTGCCTCCAATGCATCACTATCAGTCATTTCTACACCTGAGTTAATATCTGGTGGCAGCAATGGCAGTGGTGGCACTTGTATGTATGTGTGATAAATCAAAGGACTGCACACAAAATAAGCTAATAAACTACAGAGTGTGTCAAGATGTGACCCTAAGTATCACTTAGCTGGCCATCCAAATAAATACACCTTGTCACTGGCAATCCCTTGATTCAAAGATGATCTCTACTATGTCTCATTGATGAGTCTAGGCCCATCCACAGAAGTTGCAGGTCTTTCTGCAGGGGAAAGTAAGCCGTAGGCTAGGATTCCTCTACTTTTCCTTCTCCTCTGCTTCAAGGTCAAGGAACGGGTTGCCTTTTGGTTGAGGCTGTAGCACCACTGGAGTTAGTCTGCAGCCAGCTCCTCCCAGCTCTTGATGTCGGCACCAGTTTTCTTGAGGTCTTCAGCATATCCTCATAGCATTTCCTCTGGCCACCTGAGATCTCAGACCATTGCTAAACTGGGAACCCAAGTGAATATTATCATGTCTGAGCTAAGGTTTTTAGCTAGAGCTAAAAAGGGTCTGCAGGGCTGTGAGCTAGAGAGGCCTTGACCAGGCCTGGCTGAGCCACAGTGAGTTACACAAGAAAGGCTAGTGGAGCATCAGGAGCACTGAAAAGGAGGAGGCTGGTGAAGCCCAAGGGAATGAAGAGAGATTAGCAGGACTCCGGTGGAGAAGAGGGAGGCAGGGGCTGCCTCACCCAGCCCTTGGCTTGAAACCGCAGGGGGAGCAGGAATCAAAGGGGGTGCCCCGGAACCTCTGCCCCCGGCGGCCCCTCGGCAGGTGCGTGGAGTGGGAGGCCGAGCCCGGGGTGTGCCGGCGCCGAGGGGCCGGTCTCGCCTGGGCCGGGGGCGGGGATGGGCGTGCTCCAGTGTTTCCTGTGGAAATCCCGGCGCCTCCAGCTCCTCCCCGCGCGGGCTCGGGGCTGGGGACTGACGGAGCGGAGCCGCCGCGCCGCGCCCCGCCCCGCCATGCCCCC